TTTTTTTTTAAAAAAAGTAAGATTTAATTTACATACATCTTCCGGACTTTGCATACGTCTTCAAAAAAAAAAAAGAAATACCCTTACCTCCCATTTTTCTGAAGCACTGTTTCCGCGGTCACCTGTTCCAATGACATACAATCTTCCAGTTCCATCTGACAAGGTAACCCAGGTAGAAGATGTGAAATGGATAGATGCACAAAGGCGATTATCACACGCTGTCAAATCTGTAGGAAGTCGAAACACCTCTCGTGGTTTTCCTAAGGCAGTGTCCTAAAAAGAAACCAAACATTATATATAAATCCCTTCCTCTTCCTTTATCCAAAATAAGTATCTGCTGTGTAGTGGTTTCTCTCCTCTTCAAGAGTTGGAGTCTAATTCCCCTCCCTATGAGTATGAGCTATATTACTGATTCACTTATAACAAATAAAATAGAGTAGATGTGACAGATGGGATGTGACTTCTAGGACTAGGTCATAGAAAACTTTACATCCAGCTGACTGTCTCCTTTTGGATCACACACTTTGAGGGAGGCTAACTACCATGTTGTGCATATGCTTAATAAGGTAGCCATGAACAGACCCATGAGGAAGAACTGAGGGTTCCAGCCAATAACCAGCATCCTATGAGTGAATCATTTTGGAAATACATGGTTCAGCCCTAGTTGAGCCTTTAAATGATTTCAGTCCTGGCTGACATCTTGGCTACAAACCTGATGAGAAACCTTGAGCCATACCATCCACCTAAACTACTCCCTGATTTCTGACCGCAGAAACTGTGCGAGATGATAAATGGTTATCGTATCAAGTCACTAAGTTTTAACACTGTTACACAACAATAGAAAACTAATACGATGCAATAATCTAGTTTTCATTCTCTTAATTTTAGAGTTAATGATCAGTATTTTTCAGTCACAAACTGGAAACACCATATCATGTTCAAAATGCCTAAGAGACATCAGCCTGCAATATAAAAATACTACATTTAGACTACTACCACCTAGGTTTCTGTTAACCAATTTTAATTTTGTCTATGTCCTTATAATTTAAAAGCTATAAGATGGGTTGCTGCCATGGTTTGAATGTGTTATCCTCTCTAAAATCCATGTTAAAACCTAATCACCAATGCGATGATACTGGAAGGTAGGGCCTCCAGGAAGTAATTAGATTATGAGGGCTCCACCCTCATAAATGGGATTAAGTGCCTTTATAAAAGGGCTTGAAAGAGGGACTTTGTCCCTTTTGCTCCTCTGCTTTTTGCCATCTGAAGCTTTCTGCCCCTTTCCAGAGGACACAGTGTTCAAGGTACCATGGAGACACTCATGCTGATCTGTTAATAATGTTTACCATTAGGAAAATCAGATTGGAGTATAACTGGCAGTAGGGGAGGACTAGAAGTAAAGGAAAATTTTCCCCTCTTTTCCCTCTTTGCTTAAATTAATTAATCTAATTAAATTAATAGATAAAGTGGAATGGGACTCCTTCCTCAAAACAGTTGTTTCAAAGTTAAGGTTTTTACTT